AGACATAGCATTAAATTTTATTTGAAATGATCGAGATAATTTCATTGCCATTTACAAAGGCAATATGGAAATGCATAAAATTCTTTATGAAGTATTTCAGGCTTTACGTTATAGTGTAGAATTGAATGGTTAAGTCAGAAATACTATCTGTAGGGAAGTGAATCGTCCTTTGTAGTGACAAATATTCTATAAAATAAAAATTAGAGTTCTCTCGTGACAAAAGTACTTATTTTGCTGTTTGGCAGGTTCACATTATTGCAATACCATTCTATATATTCTGTCGTCAGGAACTGTAGAACTATTTAGTCGATTACCATTGTTTTAAGCATATATCCAAAGTGTGTACTTTGATGTATACTTAAGACGCGACACGTATGAGTTTTAGAATTTCGAATATGCAGACTTGATACACAGACCTATGGTTACCTAAATCGTTTATTCTTCATTTTATGCTAGGCAGAATTAAGCTTGTTATTAATTTATTTGCGTTTTTAATTTTGTCTTTATATTAATAATACTAAACTTAATATAATACGCTACATACAGAGTATCTATAATAAAAGAACCCTATCTTAAAGCTGCTTACAAACAAAACCAGTGATCAGTTAAGTTTTGTGGCTGAATTAAGGGATGAGAATTTCTCTCAGTGGAAAAAAATAGTTTCATGTACCATATATACCCCAGGGCGCTTTACTAAAACAATAATTTCGCTGTAGCTGCTCTACAGAAAATTTCGGACTTTGAAGAGGATTATAAGAGGTCCAATGAATATTAAAAGTCTTCGAAAATTTACATCGAAATTTGAAGAAACATCTAAACTTTTAGGCTAGTACGTGTCCAGCGTATATCAGAGGAGCTGGATAGCCACGTCCAACTATCCATAAGATCTTGGGGAATATCCTCCGATATTATCCTTACAAACTTTCACTAATTCTGCGTTGCTTCTACATGGTTTTGACACTTGATTCCGGTTCTCACTTCAGTTACTTGCTCGCTTTGAGGTAGATTCAGAACGACCATGGAATATACCAGAAGAAGCATTCATTTGGTTTCAAGAAGCATATTTTTTATTCGCAATATTTCAAGAAGCATATTTCATATTGGTGTAGTGAATACTCACAACTGTCGAATTTGGGAATGAGAAAATTCGCACCCTGTCTCAGAATTTCCTCTGCATTCACCAAAAGTGACGGATGGGATGGATTTCTACATCATTTATTTTCGGCCCGTAGTTCTTCGAGGAATTAAGTTCCAGAGGTCCAGTGGCATTCTCGATCACCGGACAGCGATATGCATATTTGTTAGAAAACGAAATTGTTCCATCTGTGCAAGGACGTCAGTGCCTTGCACACACAATCTTTATGCAACATGGAGTTCCTTCACACATAGAACGGTGTGCTACGAATGTTCTTAAATGTCATTTTACAGAAGAACGTGTCGTTAGCCGGCACTTTCGTAGTATGGAGCCTCCCTAATCCTCAGACATCAATCCATTTGATTTTTGGTTTTGGGGACATTTGAAACATCTGGTAAGTCGTCACGATCCAAGAACTTTACCTGATCTTAAGGCCAGCATTTCACGCCACGTGCTGAGCATTTCCCAGCACACATTTCCGTTAACTGTGGAACGTGCCATCTTGCGTTTTCACATCGTAGCCGAAAATGATGGCTATCATGTGGAACATGTTTTTTGTAACAAAATTTGTAAAATTATAAAACTATTATAAAGGTGTGGCTAAATGTATAATTATTAATATAATGCCGTCTAGTGACTCTATTTGAAACTAATTTTGTTTCCGTTGAAAACAATTCTCATCCCAAACTTAATATAATACGCTACATACAGAGTATCTATAATAAAAGAACCCTATCTTAGAGCTGCTTGCAAACAAAACCAGTGATCAGTTAAGTTTTGTGGCTGACTTAATTAAGGGATGAGAATTTCTCTCAGTGGAAAAAAATAGTTTCATGTACCATATAAAAATTTCACAACTGTCTGATCACTGGTTTCTCTTGCAGGCAGCTTTGAAATAGGGCTCTTTAGTTATGTGTTCTAAAATACACTTTGTATTCTAAAATACACTCTGTATTTTAGAAGCTATGAAATTTATTTAAATAAACGATCGTATGTTGAATTATGAATAAAATGTAAGAGCATGTAATGTAAGAAGTATTAACAGAAAAGAAATTATGGGCAAAAATTTAATAATATGTATCTCTCACCACACGTATTCCTACTTGTAATTATATTTAAATAAAAATAATTGAATTTACATCTAAAAATTAAATATGTTATCGATTTTATTTTGTTATGTTATCTATAAATATATTCTAATTTACAAAAATTAAAGCTAACTTGTTTGCTATGCAGTAATCTATATTTTCCTTTACGGTAATCAATGAAGATATTTTACTTGTATAATTAACTGTATAATTTTGTTAAAATAAAATACATTAAAAGAAAAATTAGTTTTCATTATTCTTTTTACGTTAGATATATATTTGGCTTACAAAGGAGAAAAAACCTATTTATTCAGATTTTACGAATATTCGAAAAACTTTTGTTGCCAGTTAGTCTAGATATTTGGAAGGTTAATGCGTTAATTTGCAACAAGAATTATCAATGCTGAAACCAAGATTAATTCTTTCTATCCTCACCACAACGAAAGACAACAATTGATTTTTCTTCTCGACCGTTAATATTACAGTTGCACTGACTAAACAAAACTCTAACGAATAAACTTCGGGGGAATCCTTTACTTCATGTGCTTAGGTGAGAAAGTTTGTTTGAAAACGGGGCCAAACTGCTTAAGTACACGAAGTTTATTAGATTTAAGACTTGTGTGCAGTGGTGGATGAAAGTTTGAGACTTTTTATCCATCATATAAAAACAGCATAAAATGGAAATCGGTGGGTATTCTAAAAGAAGACAAAAAAAGTTTTAAGCACGGTTGTGAAGTTTCTTCTATATGGGTTTTGCAAATTTTTCATTCCTAGTGGCAGCCCAGAAATGGTTGTAAGTAAGGGTTATATTCATCCATGCAAGCTTTGAACTGTTGTGGAGAAAATTTCATTGAATAAATTTGGAAAATAAATAACTTGATTTAGTGCACATATAGTTTGTACAAGTTTCTTTGCATACTCCTATTATTATTTTACCGGTAGTGAAAAATAGCATCGAACTGCATTTCAAAACTCAGCAGTTTTTTACTCTTTAGACTTAAATATGTATCTTATAACGAAAACAAGTGACTGCAATTTATCGTACAATGCATTTTATGTTATTCGAAAATTTATTTACTCGAACGGATAAATCATCGGAATCATAATCATCAAATATATTTGTAAATTAAATTACAAATTTTGGGTAGGCGTCTTATATTAGCTAAACTATTTTTAATGGCTTATCAGTAATATTGGCGATGTTCCAGAAAAGAAGGATTCTGAACCTGGAAATTTACAATTATTTATACAATGTTTTTAGTAATTTTTAATACTTTAGCATTTTTTATAAATTAGATTTATTTTATAAATACTTAATCTATATTTGGATTATATTATATTTATATATATATTTGGAATTATTATATATATATTTGGATTATATTTATATTTATATATATATATTTGGAATTTATTTATATATATATCTGGAATTTATTTATATATATATTTGGAATCTATCTTTGGATATATCTATATTCTAATCTATATGGATGCACAATCACCTCCTTGTCATTAACTTTCCTATATTGATATAAATCCTTATGAAATAATAACAAATTCTCATATAGTATTCGATGCGTGTAAGTTGAGGGAATAATTGGCCTTGGTCTAGTGCAGACTAGACCAAGAGGAAACAGTAACACTAAAAACATGAACTTCAAATTCTTTAGCATATTTATTTATTTAGTAGCTAGTAAAGTATTGTTGCGTTTTTTCCTGTTCTTCTGACACCAGTTATTACGTTATTTTCTTCCTTCACGTTCGTACGGGATTCGTGTGGATTTGAAGTGAATAACGACGACACTTGATGAAGTATCGAAACACACTTTATCGGCCAGTACTGTCAGGACAGCTCCAAAAACCCGTTTTACAGTTGTCGATGAACTACTATAAACACGCTGACACGACCAGCGACACAGCCTTCAGGCTATCAGGCTATCACGGTGGAGACAGCTTCCTGCAAAGCACTCGACTCTGCTTTCCGGAGTACAGCTCCCGACTCTGCTCGGTCGTTTTCGGAACTCCACGTACTCTCGAGACTCTCCATGCTAAAACTCGCGATACACTCGACGACACAGAGCACGGCTCCAGACTCTTCGGTTCAGTCGTTCCCGGAGCTCAACACGGACGATGCACTAACCGCGATATACTAACAGACTCCTTCGGTGCACTCGACGACCCACTCGGCACTCGTTGCCCGGCTGCCAACTCGATCGACTCCGTAGGGATTGACTCGCTAGACGAGACACACTTACTCTCGATGAGAGGCACACTAACTGACTGCGGACCAGCAGGGTTTATATAGCTTTCGGCTTGTGTTCGGGAACATTCTGGGCTAAACCAGTAAGAATTCGCTCAGGAAGGTTCTACAATTGTCCATGGTATATCGCCAATTTTGTCGCCAAATGGGCGATTTCTCGCCAAATATGACAACCTTGCCATCCTTAGCCATTTTATGGCAACCATAAAACTACTTTGCGGGGAAGCCATCTTACCGCGCCTGTACATTTCGTAACAGTATAATATTAAATGATATTTCATTTCCTGAGTTTTTTTCTGTTCTTCTAAATACATTTAATGCATTGCATTTACACCAATCACACAGATTTTAAATATCAGAGCTTATTCAGGGTAACAGTTTCATTTAAATGATCTGCAGCGTCTTGTGTGCATTTTTATAGCTTTAAATTTCCACATTTCAATGCTTATAACTTGAAACTTTTCTTACTTCCTATTTGCTTTATTGATTCTTTATTATTATTCTTTATTTTCAGGTCAGACTTTTTAACTACACAGCGAAGTATAGTTTCCATCTCTGGGAGATCATCGCATTTTTTGGTGGCACTGAGCATTTTCTTCCCAATCCTGAATCTGATGATTTAGCATTCGAAGAGACAGTTCAAAACATGGTAGCAAACTTTGTCAAATCTGGAGGAGATAGTGTTGGCGACAGTGACTGGTTGCGCTTTCCCAAAAAGATGGCCAATTTGGCAAGAAATATCACTTTCGGTGACATCAACAAAACAGAGTGTAAATTTTGGTCTGAAAGCAAACTCGACGTTTATGCTTGGGTTAGTTAAGGTGAAGAGATTTTACAACTTCCCACCATTTTTTTTCTTTGTCGTAAGTCCGCGGATTGGTTTTAAAGAATTAAATGTGCCAAAGTGAACATACGGGCCACAACCACGCTTAAACGGACTATGAACAGTACAGCGTAAAACTATGGTTTCAAAGGTTCAGAATAATTAACATAATTAAGGTCATTTCAAGCTTCATGGATCTTTATAAATTTTACGAGTATTTTCCAGTGACTTATATTTGTATTTTATGCTCAAGCTCATATATTCAAACTTGAATTCCATCCCTCCAAGATGAAGAATGTAATAGATTTTTTCATTTTAATGATTATAGTGCTCTTTGGAATTTTAATTAACTTTAAATATATATATTTTTAACTTTTGGTATTTTTCGCTAGTAAAAATAAATATAAATTTAACCGAGAGGCAATATTATAGATCTCTTAGAGATACAGTTAATTACTTTAGATCACTAAAATACATGCTATTATAGGCAATATTTAGAAAATGAAAACGATTTCATCTCGGTCTTAAAAATTATAAGGTTATTCAAGATAAAATGCTTCTGTATTTAAATCATAAAGATTACACTTATAGAAAATATGCGTATTTTGTTTGTATCTTAAACTCTGTGGTATAAATATCACTGAAACAAATGGCACAATATTAATAATAAAACGTTTCTGAGGTTTTAAAAGCTCTTAATTAAAAAAATTAATAATTAGTTGTAATTTTTAGGTTAAAATTCCTGATTTAAGAATATAAAGCAGTTGTTTGAGTATGTTTTTAAATCTATAAATAAAAAGTAATTATTATGCAACAAAAATTGTAAATTTACCGATATATCTTAATTAAAATTATTGAGGATATTTGGGTGCGCGTTTTTTTTTTTTTTTTTTTTTTTTTTTTTTTTTTTTTTTTTTCAATATCGCAGTCAATTTTATATTTTAGTTGTTTAAAATTAGTTAAGTACGTATTTTTAAGAATTCTGTAAGCATTAAATTTCAAATATATATCAGCATAATAATACCCTTCAAATAACAGCACTTTATGTCATGTCATATCTTGCGTGTTTATTGTTTTACGCAACGATCTAAATTAAATCATGCTATTTTTAAAAGAAGATATTGTACCTAAAATAATACGTAGATGGGTCTGTAAATTTTTTTTCTAATTCTAAAATAATAATAAGAGTGGGAAAAAATGCTTTATAGTTCCATATATAAGCATAATAATGAATAATGAAATTCCAATCCGCGGACGGCGTTTAAATCAGTCAGCTTATTCTTATGATATCATATTTCTTTCACTCATCGTTTTATAATCGTCCATTTTTAAAGCGCTACAACATAAAATCACGGCCATGAAACAAGTGATCGTGTAATGAAGAAGCGTTTAAATATGTGTGTATACATGAGATGATAATTCCCTACATATGTGGAACATTCTAACTCTTAATATTTGATTTGTCACGAAAATTTCATGAAGAATGGCGCAATATTAAGGCATTAAGCGTTCTAGATATTACAAAGCTCCAAAACCAACGAAATGTAAAATGCATTTAAAAGGAGTTAAATATAAAATTATTTAAAGGAAGCCTCTAATGTAACTTCATACTGTCAAATTCCTTCTTAGCATCATAATAGCAAAGAGCTGGGGTTATTTGAAACCCCAGGCAACAGAAATCCACGACAATTCTTATGTTCCTGTTGCCTGAACATTCTAATAATTATTATTCGACATGCTACTTTTACTTCACAGGCCTGGAGTATTTGGGAGTTATGAATTTTCAATTTCGTCTAAGTAAATCTTGTGAAAAGCAATGCAAACTTAAATATAATTAGAATGGCCTTATTCAGCTATTACTTCTAGTTAGAAGCTAAAAGTTAGCATATTATTGTAAATCTTCTGAGGTAATGTAAATCTTCTGAAGATGAATTCATTCTGAGGTATTAGTGCTTGATAATAGCTGCGTCCTTACCGTTTCCGTAAAATGTTTTCAATCACACCATCTGACTCTTAGTTTCTCTATTTTTTACGTCAAATTTCAATTAGCACACTTAAGTAGCTCTTTCCGCCTAGTCCCACATTGACTGTTTAAAATGCCGTTATCTGACACCATTTTACCTGAAAATCCATATTACTGGTCCTTTTAATGTCCGTTCTATGTATAGTTTATGAATAAGTTTCAGACAGAGCCTAACTTTATAATATACATTGCAAGAAAAATATTCTAAGTCTAAATTAAAAATAGGCTGATGAAAATGAAAAAAAAATATCCGTTATAAGATATAAAATTTTGAGAAGGCAAGGAAAATTTAGTTGTTGTTAAGTTTTTGAATTAAAAAAAAAATATAATTACTTGCATTAGAATTTGCTTTCGAATAAAAAATATGGTAAGGTAAAGAAAAATTCGGTATAAAAGAGGATAAAAACTTGTTTTGTTACTTATCTGCGAAACAATTTCATTTTTTCTATATTATACAACTGAGTATTTTTAAACTTCTTTGTTTGCGAAAGGAACATGTTAGTTTTATTTTAGTGGGATAAATTGGAGTTCCTGTGGATGACGCATGTGCTATAAAAATAAACATATGCGTTCAATTTTTCAGGAGTTATACTGAAAAATGAATTTGACACCTTTGTTTTCTGTCGATATTTGAATTGAAGCGTGTTAGATAGCAACCCACGTATAGAATATGACACTTGCCTTGACGGCTCATTGTTTTTGTTATAAAGTTAACTTAAAATGATCATTTTTACATGTTTCGACCTCATTAATGTGAAAATTTGATAAATTAATTATATTTTAAATTAATTATTTCAGTGCAAATGAATGAGTTCAGTATTCAACAATAAAAATAACAGTTTTCTGTATCACGAAAACCGAAATTTTAATGTTGGCCTTTCCTATTGGGGAAAAGTAGTGTATTCAGTTTCTTTCTTTTTATTTTTTTAAATTTAATGATTTTTCACAACAAAATACTAGTTTAGAGTCCAAGATTCACAACGAGGCTGGACAATATATTTAACTGTTCATGTTCCACAAAATAATTCTTTTGGTTAATTATCTTTCGTGTTACAACTCAAAGCATTCATGGTCTGTTTGTATAAATCTTTTACTTAGGTCTTTATTTCCCAAATTTACAATCATTCTATAATAAAACCATAATATTTTTCTTTATGACAATTATAACTTTAACTTACTGACTCTGTCTTCTAGACAAATTCCGAGGAATGCGTCCAGACTAATCCCGAATCAAGTGTACTTGTGTACACTATTTTATAAAATAGATTCAGTGTTTCGAATCTAAATTTAAACAAATTCTGCAAAATACGTGTTAAGCAGGCCTTTTTGCGCCCTTCTTCTCAAATTATTATACATTTTCAACATATTAGTCTCCGTCCTACAGCTACGGACTATTGATATAAACGCTGTACGCCGGTACTACGTAAATGAGGATGTACGTCTTGTACGGATGTGCATGTGATCTAAGTAACTTTTAATCGTGAAACCATGAATGGTATTTTGAATTTAATATGGTGGTCAATTTCAAATCTTCAGATTCTGATGAATCTCGAATCTATTTGTTGTTATAATCGTCCTGATTGGAAATATATATACTTTTCGAAATGTGTTTTATGTAAATGAATATAATGTGAAAAGTCTTGAACAAATGACTGAATACATTTTGTATTATATATTGATAAAAGCAAGAAGAAACTATCTGAAAAAGTTGCTAATTTCTGAATGATTACTTCTGAATTTATTATTTAGAAAATTCATAATCTAGATATCTCCATTATAATAATAATTGTACAATTAATTATAAACGGAGTAGAAAAAGTCCACTTCTTTGGTTCATTTACTGTTTTCTTCTGAAATCATAATTAAATATTTCACAATTAGTTTCGACCAAATAAATGCTAATTTTCAGTGATGAGCTTAATAATTACTTTTAGGTTTTTAGCAGGCTTAATCTTAAAATTAAAACGTTCCTTGCTCTTCATTTAAAACACGTAAACTTTCTTTTCCTTTGAATTATTTTATTTTTTCAAGGTTTTAATATGTATTAGAAGAGCACAGAATTAATTTTTATAGAGTAGTTCTGCCAAAAGATCTTTCGAAACATGTAATTTAGTTTTAGAAAATTTTCAAAATATTAAAAATGAATTAACTGTTAAGTTGTAAATTTTCTCTTAAGATAATTTGAGCATAATGATTTTTAATGTATTTTTATGTTTTTTGTAACTGCAACAAAATTTGATGAATTAATAATTATATTTGGCAGTTATGGTAAATTAGAAATCAACAATTATTTCAAAAAGCTACTTATTATCAGTATTATAAAAATAAATTTTATTAGCTTAACTAAAAATTTCAAGTGAAAAAAGTAAAACACTTTACATTTATTGAAGGATTCATTAGTCCATGCGAAGTTACTCTTTTTATATTTTTAGAAATTAGTTAATCTATGCAAACTAAGTTTTTATTCTATGAACTTGAAAACATGCAATACAATCTGGTAAAAAATGCAGAATTTCTCCGCTTTCAAATTTTATTATCTTACTTTTCAAAATATGCTTTCCCTTTCAAGGTAGTTCATGATTTTATAAAAGAAGATATAGCTTAATGCTGAAAGTGGATCATATTTGGAATAAAGGCATGTTATGAACTGAATATTGTCAGACCATAAGCCTCTAAATAAACTTTCTGATGCTCATCAACTTCACAATGTATTATGCAGCCTTCGAAATATAAAAGGCAGCATTATGTACCCTAACATGTGAATAGGTGCACATCTATGTATGACATTAAATTTATCTGTCGCCATAGTCATCCCAATGCACGAGCAATCACGTGTTCTAACACGATAACTGTGTGCCAAAGCTTTTGGAAAGCTGTGTCTCTACATTAAAGGACGTGTTTCTACTTTTGGTTTTCTTCATATTGTCTGTTTCGTTTCTTCAATGGATTCCTGCATATGTGGAAACATGATTTCAAGATTCTTGGTGCAAGCTTAACTAAGATTGAATTTGTGCTTCAGCTCAAAATACAATGGAGTGTGCCAAAACAACAAACATGTGTGGCCAAAGTATGTGAGATTAAATGTTGTATATATATATATATATTAAATATTTATTATTTGCATGCGTTATTGCTGCATGTATGTATTTCAAGGTGGTGGAGGATTCTATACATGCTGTGCTATTTAACAAAAATGGATTTTTTTTCTATTTAATAAAGTTTACGAACATCATGTACTTTGTGATTTTGTTACTTTCTATTGAATCTCAGCAAAGCTTTACCGCACTTTTGCTTATTGGGTTATAAAACAATGGTAATCCATAAATTATAATTCCATATCTTACAAAAAAAGGCTTAAACACAAAAATGTTAAGTTTAGAGTTTATAAATTAATTTATAATTTAAAATAATTTGGAAGGTTGATAAAAACATGGACATTATAAACACCTGATCAGTTGTAACCATTAAATCAGTGCTAGATGATATGTTTTAGGACAAATCCAGACATGAACAGCCTTTTCTGGAGTTAATATTTTGGTTATCATTGGTTTTTAACAAAGTTAAAATATGCCTCCATCTTTTCGATCATGAATAATATATGCGATTCAAATTAAAAGCTGTAATGTTTCTAACTACTTTATCTATGCTTGACTTCGTAGAAACCTAACTAAACTATGTAGCATCTTATCGCTGAGTTCAAGTGTGTAAATGACGAAGTTCGAGAAGGGTTAAACTTAACTTTTACTATCTCAAACTAAGAATACAGATTCTCCACTTAAGCTTTAAATAAAGGTAAGAAAATAAGAAACTAATCTAATGCTAAACTGAACTTGGCCGAAACTGTACAAAATTATCTAACATAGCCGGCCCTTAAATAAATTGACCGGTGAATATCAACAGGCACGTACAATACGGCCGAGAACTTAAATTGCGAAGCAGCCTGACAGCAAACACACACCACAAAAGAGGTTATCACACATGGCTACAGTCCTTGCTAGACGGGACCTTTCTGTGAAACGAGATTCTAGTAACACTGGTTTAAACGGGGGGATTCCTAGAAAAAAGAGCCCCTCCTGAAGCGAAGTCTCGCCTAGCTACGGAAACAATGTTGTGACTACGTGGGATTTTTTCAAAACTCACCGAAAATGTCTCGGCTGGACCTCAATCCCGAGTAGAGACAATCAAGTCTTTTTAATAAGTGAAAATAGTAACCTAACTATGGTTTCCTGGAATTGTCTCTTTCGACGTCAAGTCCCGAGTAGCCGAAACATAATGTGATTGGGAATAAGGACTCCTAAGTTCTTCTCCTGAAGTAACCGAAACTTTCCTTTAAATAACCTTCATACATTCATACATAAAATTAGATTTCAGAAAAAAATGTGGGATTCTCATTACGGTAATTATAAATAAAACATTATTTTTTAGTTTTATACAGTATTTTGATATCTAAATTGAATTTTAAATCTATCAATAAAATATACCAGAAATTCAATAAAATATAAGGGAAGAATAACAGCCAAGGAAAAAATATGACCTTTGGAAAATCGCACTTTATTAAATTCTAAAAATTAATATTTATAATATAAGCAAAAGTAATAAAATTTGGATGATATCAATGAAATATGCAACAAGACAGGAAAAAAAAAAAAAAAAAAAAAAAAAAAACCTAACTGAAGTAACTAAATTACAGCATTTTTCATTTAGTCATTCTCAGATTTATCTGATTTATGACTATACGTGCCTGCGTAATTGTTTTGATGCAAAATATAACTGACATTAAAGATTTATAAAGAGTGACAATGAATGGCCTGATGAAAATTATCTGCTGGATGATATTTTATTTTAATTTATCCTTTTGCATTCATTATAAACCTCACTATTATGTAATTTTATTGACTAATACTATTAATTAGATGACAATAGATATATATAGATATAGGAAGATCATAATCATATGTTGGTGTGCGTGTACAAATAGCAATATAACGCGATCTTTTGCGAAGACGGATATACCTGTGTTCAGAATATGAACTTTTAATTATATATAAGAATTACATTTCTAACTCATCATTATTCATTAATAGGTGAATAATTAAATCCACATAACATTTGAATAATTAAATTTATGTGTGTTCAAAAATCGCTTTTGTATTTATAACAATTAGCTAAAAGTTCTTCAAAGTGTGAAATGTGACAAATTTTTAACTAGCAAATCAGAAATGGGTAATACGGGAGAGGGAAGATAAGAAAGATATGAAACACAGTAGGAATTTAAATGTATAAGTTGAGTTCGGTATAGGAGCTGGCAGGATTTACATATTTGTTACCAAAGTGAGCTTCGGTGATGTAATCGTAATTTTAAACAATGGTACATTTCTAAATCTTGTTCATTAAATATTTCGTTTTACAGTACAGCAGTGATCATGATTTATTTTATACTAAAGTATACTGAATTTTCGTCAGGGTTCACTGACTGTGATTGATTCATTGCCACTCCATTCACTGTTAATAATCTCTGTCTGTGATTTCTTCTTATTTCTTTGGTAATGTTATTTCCTATTTTCTGATTCAGATGTAGTGAATATAGTTATTTACCTAATTCTTCGATATAGGTGTTACATGATGTAGCAGTGAATGTGTTTGCATATTTCATTTGTTTAAGAGAAAATCGAGCGAAATGCTTTGACTTTTAATGTTAGTAAACGTGGTTATTATGATATATACTTTCAGCTACTGACTATTAAAATGCAGTATTTCCTTTTAGCATTTAGCATCAGTTTAAAATGCAAATAGTATATGCCTCGGTAATATTAAGACGTTCATCTCTTGGTTTGTGGAAGCATTACATTTAATATTATATTTTCACGATAATTTTATATAAAGATGGTTAATTTGGTACTGCTAGGAGGATTGCCTATCCCTGTTATCCGAAGAACTATGAAATTTTAACAAAATCAGTTATTTACATCTGCTAATATTAAGTAACGATATATTAATAATTACTTAGCAAAATTGGAGATAATAACTTTTTCCTTTTCCTCAGTAGGGATCAAAGCCATCAATAGAAGTTGTTTGCTACTAAGGCGGAAAGCGGTGGTCACTTTATTACAAAGGCAATTAATAGGTGGGCCATCGTTCTTTCCTGTGAGGGGACAGAGAAATTACACCCAAATAGCCAAATTGCCTTTTCCGCGATTAGAAACCAGCATTCAGTATGGAGTCAGAGTCACTAACTACTTTCCCGTCTGGGCGGCTTGGAAATCAATAAATGTATTATGGATTATTTTTGTATATTTAAAAATCCTATTTCCAATGCATTTCTCATCAGTTGCCTGATTTATAACAGATTTTAAATGGTTTATAGAAAGATATAATTCAAATGAAGAGTTCATAGATAGAATTTATTTTGTTATGGAGTAGGTTCACTATCTTTTATCCTACATTTCAATTTATGAACATAATGATATTCATCAAGTTTAATATAATGCAAATTCTACTTATGAGTTTAATATGATGCAAATCGCATTCCACCGTGTGTGCTCTTATTGTGCAGTTGATAATAATATCCAGCTGAGAAGACAGTTAATAAGCGATTCGAATCTCAGCCACTGTACAGTAAATTTATCAATGTCATGTCTTCGATAAATTAAACTCTTAGTGTAAGATGGTAAGTGAGTTGGAATGGAGAAAATAATTAGCGTCATGGCTTACCATAATATTTAGTTCTCTAGTTTAACTTTTCCTTTGAAAATAGCCTTGCGGCTGTAAACAGTTTTAAAACACTTGCAAAGCAAAGTACTTGCAAACTGTAAACAGAGGAAACAGTTTGAAAGTACTCTTCTTGCAAACTGATTTTTAAACTAAATATGTTTATTTTGTCCTTAATAAGTACATGTTTTGCCTTGGCAAAGATTGTAAATCTCCTGAATAAATGAGTTTATATCTTTTCATTCTTATTATCTCAGAATAATCATCACTCAGCCTAGCACAATATTCTCTGTTGGTAACATTTTTGGCCGTCATTATTTAATGCAGTGCTGGTTGCTAGTTGTACAAGTCTTTCGCAGATATTATACCAAATACAAATGTTATAAATTTTATGCGGTTTCTAGATTTCTGTATTTGGGTATTAAAAATGTGTCAGCATAGGTATTCAAGATTCTGGGGGTAATGAATGATTTTTGCAACCTAAAGCACTCATGAAACATTTGGATGCCTAAACATTGCGAGATGGCTCATCAAAGTTGCAGCGAACTCACTCGAAGCATTCCGCTTTCGATTCTAGTTAACATTGTTTTCGGCGGAGGCGGACGTTCTACGCGTTACAATATTATTTTACTTCGTGTTTTAGTGGAATAAAAAAGAAAGCAGATTTCTTTGATTTTCACACCTATTAATTAAACCCGGAGAAGAAGATTGTCGAATTCATTGAATATCCAAACAGGCTGTGGTGCTAATCTATCTGTAAAACATATTATTTAAGTTAGAGGTTATAGAAAATGAATGAAAAAATAAATTTTATGGATGCATGGAGATCCTTTGGCCATGCGAAAGCGAAGGTATTCGCATGGATTGATATGCTAATTTCAGATTGTTATTACATCATCATTCTCCACAAAAAGACATTATAAAAACAACACATAGAAAAATCTTTTGACACGTAAGCAAATGAAAAGATAGTGTATGCACCATTATCAACTAAACGAAGCAAGAGGGAATGAACGGATAAAAGGAAATGAAGAGTCTTTGAAATAGCTCCGCAAAAGTTTGGGGACCACGTAAGACTCATTTCCATGAATTTGTATTTGCAGAATTTTAACTTATCACGTTGACGGAAACTGTGTTCTGAATTTGATATTATGTATATATATATATATATTGTGTGTATATATGTGTATATATATATATATTGTGTGTATATATGTGTATATATATATATTGTGTATATATATACGGCCCACCAGCGGCCGAGCGGTAAAGTCGCTGAACACTGGTAGTTCGGTCCGAGGTTCGAATCCCGCGAACGGGCTGGCTTCATGGGCGTTTTCGTGGTTTTCCCCATGTGTAACGTGTATACGAGCCAGTTTCCCTTAGAAAGTCCTCCACGAAAGGCATCCCTTGTACATTCACTATCTTATTTATATTATTTTCTATATTATTTTTATATTATTTTTATGTTTTCTTTGATTTGTTTTTACCAAGTTTGCATTATTTATCTTTTTTATAATCTTCTATG